TGGCGTACAAAGTTTAAGGTGTTGTGCGTTTCAGTTGGATCTTCATGCACAGCAAAGGCAACACATTCGGTGTCTGCAAAGCACATCTGTTGACGCCACAGAAACCTGCAGTGTGTGTTTTACAGTCCATGCAAGTGGAAATGTGTCTTTGGTTAGATAGTGTTATGGTAAGAATAGACAAATTAAAAGACAAAAAACCTACATGAGACGTATCAGACATCATAAAGACAATGAAAAAAGTTTGTTTTAACAAAAGGACATCTTAAAACACATTGTTAATTGCCCTCAGATTTCTATAGCACCACCAATTACAGCTGTGAGTAATTTAAGAAAGAATGTGAAAGATGTTTAAAACTGATGTGGCTGCATCAAGATAAAATTTCATAAAATGATCAAGTCACACACACTCTTCTCACAAAAGACAACCACAAACCAATCTTTATAACTGACAAACTGAGCACCATGAAACTAAGGGCTAAAGAGACTAGACAAAAATAGTAGCTGGTATTCTTATTGGTGACGCTGTTTTGGGCAATAAACATTTGGGTGTTTTTTTTTGTTTTAAGCTCAAACATTAATTACAGACAGACATTTATTGTCTCATGTTTTAACAGTGTTGACAGAGAATTTTCAAATATGAAAGCTGAAATGCTCCTTAACAGAATATAGACAACTCTAGCAGGCAAAGAATTGTTTTGTGCTAATGTTGTAACCTCATGATTCATGGTGTTTTATGATGTTTAGGAATGAGTTAAGGACCAAACAAAGGTTGTTAAGGATTTACAAATATTTTAACCTCCTGATGTCTGAGTTTCTGCTCATTATGATTATAGAGACAATATATTTGTTATTTAAACCTGAACACAATAAAGCAAACAAACTGCCTGACAATATTGTCCCTGAATGGAAACCTGCCAGCGGGCAGCAGTGGCTGTCATTAGGAGATAAAAATGCCCTAACTGATTTGATGGATTAGCTTATCCAGTGATGCTGCTGAAGCTGGAACAAGAGGTTAATACATAGTAAACCTCCTGATGATGCACCACCAATAAGAGAGACACAGAAACAGTGAAAACAATGTTAAAATCAAAGCAACACAGAGCTGTAGCATACTTACATTGCTGCCAGAAATGACAGGGTATCAGGAAACATAGTAACTCTACAAAGCTATCTGACAGCTAAATATGAATAGATATAACTATAAACATAATTATATCATATTAAAAGCAAGCATGCATTGTAACAATAGTAAAAACTGAGAGAGAGGGGGATACCAGGCTATAAGGTTGAAATGTAGTGGAGAAAAAAGTACTTTTAAGTATATAAATGCACTTCAACACAACTCTTCACACTTGATACATGACATCACTAAAAATGGTACTTATGCATACTGTAACTCTCTGTGCTCAGTCATCAGTGATGATGACCATCAAATATAACTGTCATTGCAGGTTAAACAGTGAGCAAAAAAAAAAAGGTGCTCTTATTCTGAAATAAAATATGTGTGTTGGATTTAGGTCCAAGGTGTCGAAACAGGCACACACACATACATCGTTTGCAAACCAAATATTGGATTTTCCTTTGAGATTTGTTGCTTCTCATTTGCAAAAACAACAGTCCCCTTTAATACAATTACACACTGTAGCGGCGACCTTGAGACTAGACAAGCTGCTCCATTATTTCCAGACTATAAGATTGAACTCCCACATTCCTAGCTAATACCACTCTCTGCTGTTCTAGTGGCTCAGCAGACTATGAGTTTGAGTTTATTCACATCTTCCCCATCACATGCTTGTACATTATCTCATCACAGGTGACTATCAAGACAGAAAATCAATTTAGGATGTAACAGTTCTGCAGTGTTTTGAAAAATCTTTATATTTTTCCATTACTGTTGCTGATTCACTATCTTTTATCACTGGATACCTAAAGATTTGTGGCTCAGTAATGAAAGAGGAGGAAAGCTGATCATAAAAAGTATCTCTGTGTCCCGCAGCCAGCTGCTTAGAGAGAACAGCCAAATCCTAAGAGTTAGCTGGCAGAACAATCATTGCCAGAAATTGTTTGTCTTTTTGTCTAACTCCTTTACAAAATGTTCTCTGTTTCCCTAGACAGAAGGAAAATGATGGAGAATCATCTGCCTGCAAACTGGCCAAAAAAGGTTGCACAATGAAACTTCTTGTATGTGCATGTAAGTATGTGTATGTGTGTATTTCTGCACATGTGAGCATCATCTGCATGAAACATCAAAGCTGCATAAAACAGAAAGAAGAACAGCTGACAGCTTAAACATTTATAAGCGTGCCAGGGCAGAGCTACATTAGCAATGAGACTGAGTCTGAGCTAAACCTCAGCTTTCATAGAAAATGGGATAAATTGTGTTAAACCGGCACTGCAGTCCAACCACAGGTGCCAGTTGGCATAATGAGGAGCCACTTTGGTTAAATGACATTATTTTCTGGTCCCATCTGAGTGTCTAAACAAACATTCATCTACTGTCAACCGTTATTTCAGGGAAGATGCAAGACCACTGGCTGAGTTTGTCCCAGTTGCTGCTACAGCTTCTGTGAAACTAGAGCTTACTGTGTTGGGTGTCAGCCATGGTTGCTCTGCAAATATTTTCAGGCGGCTTTGTAAAATGATCAGAAAGTTTGGAAATCCAAATGTATTCTCTGTTCACAAAAAGTTCTGCCGCAAGGCAGGCAGCAACACTGAAAGCAAGGTTTTAAAGGAACAAGCTATAGCTTAAAGCAGTGGTTCTCAAACATTTTCTGTCACGCCGCCCTTTAAAAGCTGAAAAAAGTATTCAAAGGTTTTTCTGTTTTATAACCACAACTATACACTAACCTTAACAAATTTAGTACAGGCATTCCCAAAATCTGCTTAAATGTATAACTTAAAGTGAGTAACTTAGAGTTTAGTTTAGTTTTAGTTTAGAAATTAAGTTAAAGTACAAAGTGCGGGTAGGTATAGACACAGGAACAAGTCACAAAAGCTACATAGAACAAATATAATACAGCAATAACAACAAAGAGCATCAGCCATCCGAACAAATATCCTGACTGCATACTACATATAT